GGAACTAAACATAGGATAATGGTCTATGGACCCCAAAGTGAATCAACAAATAACTACTGAATTTATTGTCAATGATTATGGAAGATATACGTACTCATGCAAACACAAAACATAAAACATTACCTTCCAACTAAGTAATCATCAGTAGGCAATACTATTCGCGCATTTACACAATCATAAACCCATTGAGGCTGCAAATATGCTCGAGAAAGGAATGTGTGTTTCTGAGTTGGCCTGTCAACAATCTGCACATGCAAAATTTTAGGATCATATATACTTTCAGACTAGAAGTTAAAGCTTCATCAACACAAATTAGAGGTTTAACACCCCTACAACAAGTGGAAACACATACGTGATCATGCATAGTTCAAATAATCAGGATCAGATTACAGAGGTACCTAATATCCCAAACCTCACAATCCAGCACAACACAAGGTAGTGTTCTTTGGGTTAGTGTTGGGATACAGTTGTTTGCTACAATCTGTGGCTACAGTTGTTTAGCATATCACAACAATACATGTCTAGTAGTGTTCTTTGGGTTTTGGTGCCAAAATCACATCTACCAAATCAGATACATTTCACACGACAAATGAATTTGAAGACATATGCATTTTATATTACATCTGCTGTGTCAGACCTGATGAGTAATGCTCTGATCAGATTCGTTGAATGGAGCTCCTTCTCCCTCCAAGAAACCAGACCTCCAAAAGCTGGGATTATAAATAGCAAAGATTCTCTAGGAACCTGGATATAAAGCAACAAAAAATCATGGAAACAAGCACAAACCCATGCTTACACATACGCACAGAGTGATAGCAGAATTATACATCTAATTTGTTAAATAAGAAAAAGTAGAGGTCAATAGACTACACCAGAGGATGCATATCTCAACCCCAACTCTAAAGTGCACAAATACTCACCAACAAGACATACCATAGAGAGCCAGTCATCCAAGAAAAACCACTGCTTAACATATTTGTCAACAACAAACAAGAAACACAATCACAGAACTATCTAAAAGGACATCTGAACCCCTAAAGCTCAACAAACATTTACAAATGCTATTTTTAACACCTGAATTGCAATAATAACAGCTGTTGACTACGATTCAGGAGGAAAAGCTATTGCAAGTTGCAGCAAGGCAACATGAATTTTTATCACACGAACAATGTGAATGTGATAAAGCATACTAATAGGATGTCACTATGAAAATGCCTAAGATAAGTACATCAGAATATGACAAGGAGCAGGCAAAACATGAAAGACTCTGAAACATGAAAAATTCACTTCATTGAAAGTGAGCAAGAAAAAGTAGTCCCACTAACAGCTCAAGAAAGCCAGTGTAAAACCAAACAGAATACAGTTTTCACCAGCATAAGAAGTTCTGTGCTCAGTGTCTGCTACCATGTTATATGTAAGAAGACAACATGCCATATTTAAGACAAATAGTGATGCCAACATTCCCATGCCTCAGAAGCTTTTAGTTTATAGGAGAGCAGGAAGTCAAGAGATGTCAAATATTCATATGCAATAAATATTCAATCCAAGGATTACGAAGGTAACATCCATTTAAGTTCAACTATAAACCTCCAGATGAACAATCCTTCAGCTTATTTCCTTGAATTATGTTTTACAGCAGGTATGTTCCTTGGGGACTGACTCTGCACCTCATTAATAGCTTCATTCCACATCAAACCCCTTCCACTTCCCAATATCCCAATCAACGAGGGAAATATTCAGTAAAATGATCAGTCCAACTCATCAAACACAAAAGATACAAGATAATAAAATCACAATAACCAATGCAAAACTATTCCCCTCACGGCTCAAGAAAAATTTCATATTCTTGAAAAGGCTTCTACATTCCCTCGTATTGGTATCTTCTTCTTCATTGCCTTCTGCATCTCCAATAAGATGCATCAATGCCCAGGCTCATTTGAAGGAAGTTGGTGTTGGAGTTGGGCAAGTCTGAGTTCAGACTCTTCAAGTTTTGTCTCTTCGTGTTTTTCCTCAACTTGTTGGGACCCAGACAAACCGATATCTTCGGAGTCCAATTTAGAAGCTTTAGAATTGGCATCAAAGTATCTTGACAAAGCATATAGATCTGCACAAATTTAGAAACAAAGAAAATACAGTATCAAGTTTTCATGTATTAACATGCAGAGTAAACCAGCTCTAGCCAACCCATTCTACAAAAGTAAAATATTCTCCCAATTGACTTCTAAGGAAATATTTATGAGAAACTGAGTAAGGGTAAATGGAATACCGGCTGCCAATGCTTCCAAGCGAGAATCCAGAATTGGTGGATATTTGACATTTATTGAATGATAAAGTTTGAAATTAACAAAAGCAAGGAGAGTCTGCAACAAAAAACAAATAAAAATAAGTATTGAAAGAAATTAAGAGGAAAACAGAAACAGATGAGTGGAAAATAAATCTTCACTGAGTCTACAATAAGAGGGAGATAAGTCAATAAAAATGGATAAGGCGTGTGAAATTGATTAATTTGATATGAAGATTTTGCACAATATGATGTGCCTATACAGTTCAAGGAGGTGCACTCAGGCTAAAGTGGGGCAGTGCCATGCTAGTACTTTGCCATAATAAAATGAATAAGGCATGAGAGAATACAATTCGGTGACAGAGTAAGTAATGATTCTTCAGCAGTGTTATCTAATGACAACTGTCTCTAGGAAAGCTTAAAATTTGAGACTCTGGCCATGTCTCCAACTTCACCCATAAAAAGTCATGCTTCATAATTGACACACATCACCTGTTTTGAAAAAAAATTATATTTTGGCCCTATATAAGGTTAAGCAAGTGAGTCTGCAAATCCTGCAGAAAATACCTAAGCTAATTTTATCTTCTAATCTTCATGAAAAAAGAAGAAAACAATTACCACTCTTCACCCTGCAAAATTCCACAGAGACTGGACACTGAATGTATGTAAAAGAAAAATCAATCATGAAACCCAACATCCACTAACCTCATAGAATTCCAGGAAAGTCAGCATCACTTTGAAGTCGACGTCATCTGGCAATACTTGCTGCAATGCATGAGGAGTTAACCAAGTGACCTTTTGGCCCTCAACCTCTGCCTGCAGAGATCATTGCTCTATCAATGTCTACCAGAAAAGGACCATATACCAGGAATTCAGACTAGAAGGAAAGAAGACCAGAAGAAGATATACCTGGTAATATATTCCCTTTACAGATATGAAAGTTTTCCGAAGTTTATGAGTGCGAGAAATATAAGCCTGCCATTCATGACTCAACCTAATCCATACCGAATTAGAATATCCGATAAGTACAAGAGATATGAAGTAATATCAAGAAATGTTCAAAAGCTGTAAACTTAGTCTCACAAATATTATCTACAACAATCAAAGTAATAACCTTCGACAATTATGAATACGGTCAACTTGAATGTTTTCCCTTTCGACCCTCTGAATAGCAGGCAATGCAGCAAAGAGGTGAACCATACTGAGACAATCATCCAGATCACGTAGTGCATCAATGAATTTTGGGTACCTGTACCCAAGCAGTTATAGATGCCCTTTTTCAAGTACCTCAACTAAGCAAGCACAAAAGGTTGCAACCTCAAAATTTATGCCATCAACCAACCTCTCTCCGATAAGCCTATCTAGTGTGTATGAAGGCTTGCGGCTCAATAGACGCTCAGCAAGATCTCGGTTTTTCTTTGACTGGGCTTTCTTGACCTTCTTCTCATACGCCCGCATCTCTCTTAACTTCTCAAGTAGGGGCTCATGTTTCAAGAACAGAATATCTTTCATGTGATAATAGGTGTGGTGGGATCCCTTGACCTTCTTCTTGGGGTCTCGGGAAAGACACCTTTGAGGATGCATAATTTCCTGTAAGGATGAACCTTAAGTACTAAAATCAGTAATCCTTTTTTACCATGCAAAACAAGCTGAAGTAGCTAATGCTCATGGAACCCCTTTTCTACTGCTTATGTTGCTACAAGCTATACACGTGCAAAGCTTTTTCTTATAACTTCCCTCGTCTATTAGATGCATTTTCACGATGGAAATTTTCAGAAAATGTATATACAAGTTGGTTGGCCCTAACACTGTGGAAACAATCAAAGAATCTTTATCTTGTTTGCTTCACGGGAACTTTTAAAGGGCAAAATCCCTTGTCAAAAGCAATTCTCAAACTAGCTAAACCAATACAATCAGATGCAATTTGAGCTAAATAGTAAATCGTTAATCAGATGGAGGGGGAAGGCACCTGAAAACTGATAAGCTGACTTGGAGATATTTGACGGCTTGTGACCTTGTAACATATTTTGCAGCGTTCCCCTCCTTTTTCTTCCCCTGAAAACGGACGGAACATGTCACAGAACTTGGCAGTCAAATGAACTTCACTAAAACAACAATGAGAGAAAGACAATGAGCCGGGTGGAATTGAACTAACCGGAGGTCTGTAATGCTTCGGCATGGCGGCAGAGTAACACCGACTAGGGAGAGCACTTCGAATGGAGGAGACGCCAGGAACTTCGGTTTTGCCTTTGTTTGTTCGGCGGTGCGGATACAAAAACCCTAATCGGGTAAAAACCGACTTGGTGCCTTATGAGATTAATTACACTTACCTCCCTTGAGGTTTGTTCATATTACAAAACATATCGCATAGTTTGACCAAATTATATTTGTGCCCTTGTTATTAACTGTTCACCGTTAATGGATGTTGTTAAATGACCGAAAAGCCCCGGTAAAGATTTTATAAATCAAAATCAAAAAAGCAAAATAAAAATAATTTTTAACCAAAAAAATCATGGGAGGGAGATAAATAAAATAAGAATAAAAAGAATGAGAAAATAAATGCTGATAAATAAAAACAAAACAAACAAATCCAACTACTTTCGTAGAATGATGAATAAAAAATATCTACTATGAAGAAACCAAAAAAAAGGAAAATAATAAGATATTAAAAACAAAAAGAAAAGGAACAAATATTTGAATCTGTCTTGTCCCAAGTTACAACCAATTCATTGTCACCATTTCATTCTATTGTCGTCCAAAGACATACACATAAGATGCAAATATCTCTAATCCCCCAAAAGGTATGGCATTGGAAGAAGAGTAAATGATAAAAAAGACCAATCACTTATTTAAGACTGCATCATTTGATCACCAAACTCTTTTTTTCTTTTTTGCCAAAAAAATTATTGAACTTATACAAATATACCTTTAAATTCATTTATAGCCAAAACTTGGAAGGATGATGCCAAAAGATACTTCATTAGATTCACTACACTTCAATTTAATACTTTAACTTATGAATAAATTTATATATATTGACAGTGTATATAAGGTTAATTATTAATCTTAAATAAAATTCTCATTATCTTTAAATTATCTTTTGAACACGCTGGTGCGTGATATAAAAAAAGACCAGTGAGGCCATTATTGAGTTGATGTGGCTTTCACATTTGCCGAGTCTTTTAGTGGGCAGGCTCATGAGCAAATGGGCCAGAGGGATCAACGGGTAAATGAGTTCTTGTGCGACGCCCCCGTCTACCGCCAATTCAGTCACGTTGAAATGCCAAAATTTTAAAAGTTTCCCGCCTCTTCCAACCACCATCCTCGCGCCAAGTCAAACTGCACGGGAAACCCCATATCTAATCATATTCGGTCCTCCAAACCCCCTTTCAGCTCCTCTCTCTCTCTCTCTTCATATCTGACGGAGATCGTTTTATACTAACACGAAAATGCAGAACTTCATAGCTCAATCGTTCTTCCGAGATATCAATTCCAGAGAGCTCAACGGATTCCGAGGTTCGCTTAACCGTTTTTTTGTTTTTTTGTTTGCCTTTTTCCTCCCTCTAATTGAAGTTCTCTGTAGTTTTAATTTTAATGTTATTTATTTTTCCCCAGTGAAGAAAAGACCCTATATAGTGGATGAAAGGCCGGAATCAAGCCAACTTGGAGCCGTATCTGTCGAGCACAATGGCAAGACTTCACCTCCAATGGCTCTCTCTTTTTGCAAGGTTAATAATCCATCGCTCGAAGTAATCACTACACGATATATGTGTGTAGTAAGCTTTTGAATTTCTTTGTTCTTTTTATCTAAATATTTTAAAGAAATTTTAATATGTCCTCAATTTTAAGAATGCAGAGTAATGAAAACGCTCATATTCTAGCTGTTACGGATGAGGCAGGGTACATCAGCTTGTATAATACTCGCTTAAAATTTCCATCTTCTTCAACTTATCAACAGAATACAGGTCGGATAAATTTTTTTGCCTAGATGTTGTTTGTGTAATTGAATTAAACTTTAAAAACTTGTCAAGTATTGATTACGACTTACCTCTGCAGAAAAATGTAGAATTTTGGAGTGGGTTGCCCATGATAATGCCATTTTGATATTTGTTGGATCAAGGTATTTTTTTTTTCTTGACTTTCTTCCAATTGAAGTCGAATCAGCAGATTTTTATGAGTTCAATAGATTATAATCTCCCATAAAAGTTTGTCTACGGGTCATGTTTTTTTACATGGGAATTGCTGCCAATTTGGGATTTTTTAACTTAAAAAATATGCATCTTATGTTTTGCAAATTGGCATTGCGATTTTACTTCCATCACAAGTTCAGTCTTGATAGCTTTGACATAATCAAGTTTAGTGTGCTTTACGGTTGCAAACTTGCAGTTGCCTAAAGTGGTTTCTGTGATAAGTCAAATAAAGAGGGGCGGACGGGGCAGTAGTAATCAATAACTGGCATTATAAATTTAGAACATCGCTGAGAAATATTCTATAGGTTAAAACGTGGCAGGCAAGCATGGCCTGTTTGTCATTTGCCTCTTTCATTTATTCAAGCGGTAATAACCATGATTGCTTTCTTTTCAGGACGATAACAGAATATTGACTGCTTCAGGTGATCAAAGTGTGAGTCAACAAACTTCAGATGTAGTTTCTGCTCTTGGTTGTTTACATGGAATGCATATTTCAGAGAAGCTTTTCTTATATAGTTTTTTCAATTCACATTCTGGCTAATGCTGATAATAGCATGAAGTACGAAGATTCAAATGTTATACCATGCATTAACAAGATATACACACATTCATATAATCTCGTCTACATGAATATGTAAGAAAACGCACGAAATATGAACCGCCTGACAAATGTAAATTGAGCTGGAAGAACTTGTACATCTTAAACCCAAGATGATGGATGCAGTTCTGCTCATTTATTGATTATACGGTAAATTATGGTTTTAACAGATAAAGGTGTGGGATGCACAAAAAAGGAAATGTGTTGGAGCATTGATGGGACACACAGGAAGTGTGAAGACCATTTCTTCTCATCCTACTAATCATGGTACAATCATGACTCATACTCATGTTGGAAATGTTCGTTTTCCTCCAGAAAAGATGATCGAAATTTCTAATTAGCATATTTTGGTGTTGCTATCGAACAGACATACTTGTATCGGGTTCACGAGACGGGTCCTTTGCTTTGTGGGACTTGAGGTGTTCTGAGAATAGCAGCCACAGACTAAGCATATCGTAAGATCTGCATCCCTTCATGCTTGAGGAGGTTATAGTTGTTCCTTCACAATCTAAACACTCTTTTTCAGCTTAGTAGGAAAACTGGGAATTCATGTCATTTGTAGGCTGAACACATTTGGAACTATATGGAGTTTGCTATTCTTGTAGAATAATATCCATTGAAAAGGAGAAAATATAACGTAATTACCCAAAAGGGAAAAAGGCTCAAAGCTTACTAGTGGACCTCCCTCTCTGTTTTATTTATAGGTCAGTTGCCACTGTCCATGAGGCTCATGTATCTCCCTGTCGGAGGCGGCTTAGGCGGAGAAAGGTTTGTTCTCAGTTCAAATTTGTTCATCCAAAATGCTGGTAATTTTTCCCTTAATCCTTCAATTTTTTTTTCAGGCTGCCTCGATGAGCATTACATCCGTTCTCTACTTGAGAGATGAAGTTTCCATTGCTACAGCTGGAGCAGTTGACAGGTGTGTGAAACTTTATCATTTCTCCCAAAAGTTGATATCATTATAGAACTCTACTTTAGGCTTTGAAATTTTACTGGGTAGTTATGTAAACTTTCAGTGTTTTGAAGTTTTGGGATACGAGGAATCTCAAAAGGTCGGTTATCCAAACCAGCTCTCATCCAGATACTTCTGACGAAAAGGCAAGTCTTTACATGCAGCAGGGATGGTCAGAAATATATTGTTGATGCTGACTGACACTTCTTTTTTTAACTCAGGAGAGGCGATTGCATGGAGTATCTAGCTTGTCTCAAGATCTAAACGGAGTGTATATTTCAGCCTCATGCATGGACAGTAGGTATACTTCTGTTCTTTGACTATTATACTTGTTTTGGAGCAAAAATTTCACGCCTTATTGACTATTTTGATCAAAGAAAATCCTGGAAATTATTTACAGCTCCCAAATGAAGCCTTTCAGTTAGTTCAGATTCTGAAGTATTGCTCTTTCAGGATATACCTTTACAGTATACTTCAGCTTGACAATGGCCCTGTGAAAACTTTCTCTGGATGTCAAATTGACTCCTTTTTTGTTAAGGTAAGCAGATTTTGCAGTACTCAAATGCTCAATACTTTAGGATATGAACCGATGTTGGGCATGCACATAATTTTCTGAATGTGTTGCAGTCATCAATCAGTCCAGATGCCTCTCATATGCTTTCTGGTTCTAGTGATGGAAATGCATACGTTTGGCAGGTTAGTATTCTCTCTTTAACCAGGACCCTGTAGATTTTCTGTCTATGATTTCATTGAAGTAGCTATTTGAAGCAGGTAAACAAGCCTCACCTAGATCCAATGTTACTGAAAAGCCATGATGGAGAAGTTACTGCAGTGGATTGGTATGTTTTATGAATGTATTCTGAGCTTCAACAGAGATCCCTTTTGGAAAAGGAAATAAATTTCTCATAATTTCTCCAGGTGCCCTTCAGAGATGGGGAAGGTAGCAACATCTGCAGATGATTTTACAGTAAGTATGCAATAAATTGGTCAGCAAAAAAACTTATGAAAATTTGAGTCTCCATTAGAACCAATTATAAACTGCTTATGATGCATCATTGCTCTTTGTTGCTGGAAAAGCATCTCAAGTTTCTTCGGCAAATTGGTTTCAGGTTCGCTTTTGGAACATCCAAGGCTGTTGCTACTCAAACTCAAGATCTCCTTCATCCATTCGAAGAAGAGTAATGGCAGTTCCAAGTATAGAACGGAAAAGGCTGTTTATCGATGAAGATTTAACTAGTTTGAAAAATAACTCTGAAATCTGCCCCCAAGGTGCAGTCTCCAATATTCATTCTCCTAAACCAACCATTGCCTCAGAAACTACCACTCCTGAATCCCAAAGGAGTAGATATTCATCAAATTTCAGATTAAAGGAAAACTTGGATAAGACTCCAGAAGCTGCAAGTAGAAGCCCCTCTTCCGTTCTGAATCCTCCTTCGTCGTTGAAGAGAAGAACAATTAGAGACTATTTTTTGGTAGCTTGATATATCTTTTTAATGTTGATCAAGATTATTTACTTGTTCATAGTGATGGCCAGTGATTATGCGACAAGAAGATTGATGGTTGAAGTACTTACGTGAGAATGTAATTGCATTTTTCAGCTTTCTTAGAATCGACCTTTGTCATTGCATATCTAGGTTAGTGATATTTACTGATTCCTGTGGCTGTATTTCAATGTGGTGTTTGAAGTAAGCAAGGCTTCTTGCCTGAGCTGAATCTGATCCATCAGAGTTTTTGCTGATGTTTCGATTTTGTAAAGCAATCACTTGGAATAATTTGTAAGCGAATCTTACATGGATATAAGGGTTTTATTTTAGGTGAAGCCTTCTGATAGTCTGTTCAAATTCGACAAGAAGCCTACGGAATCCAATCTTAAGCATCAGTGCCATCAAAATCTGGTTTTGAACCGCGAATTGATGGTCTTATCCCTTGAAGAAATATGAGAAAGAGAAAAGAATTACAATGGTTTTGTTGAATAGATAGACAGATTTAAATTTCGTTCAAGAATACAACACTGAATTTTTTTTCATTTTCTGGAGATTATATGTTGTTCAGGTCTAAACCCTCCTGCTTAAATTGGGGATGACCCTTGACGATGGGGACCAATCTTGGCATTCAGGAACCATCAGTAGGCTTGTAGATTGCGAAGTTGTCAGATTCTGAAGGCAGCTGCAGCGCTTGGTCTTGCATTCGTTATCTCTAACTCCATGCATATTTTAAAGTTATCTGTAACAATAGAAAATACACCAGATCGTGAAAACAGTGGATTCATTTAGGTTGGAGCTGATAAAATATGCAAACAAGGACCAATAATCGCTCCTCTAATCATTAGCAGCATACTTGATTTGCAATATCCCTCCACATTCTCCAACTTTTTCCCATGGGTGTTTGCAAATAACAGAATAAACAAAGCAAAAAGGGAAAAGAAAATAAAAGAATGATAGTCCCATCATACGCAAAAAGATCAATAATCGGCTATTGTTTGGAAAGCATGTAAGTCTGCATCTGGAGAACTGAAATCTAGGTAGGGAATAGCAGCTTATTTTGTTCTTTGTTTAATGACGCCAAGCTATTTTTTGGGGGTCAAAAACCACATGAGCTCCGAAGTTGAAAACCCAACAGTACAAAACTTGGTGGGTTAGTCGATCTCCTTGTAAACAAATGGCTTCATGATTGAGTTTATACGATTTACAAAGCACGCTCTAATAATTAATTTTAAACTCGCTAGATTGCAAAAGGTAGATCATGTAAGCACCCCTCCTCGAAAAATATTTTTCGTTCAGTAATGTTACAATCATGAAAACTGATGCCTGATCTCCATAATCGTCAGATTCCCTCCTTTCCATTATACTACTAGTTTAAGTGAGTAGGGAATAGGGATGCGGCAGACTTCAGGGTCCAAAGAACCACCATTTTGCCAGATACACTTGGTAAGAAAGTGACTGCTGCTAAGATTTTCACATGGTGAAGTTCCCAAATGATTCATGTATGCCTGCAAATTAGTATTCTACATCATCTAGGTTTTACACTTTCCAAACAATTCATTAGTATGGCGATTAGGATTTTTATGGTTCTTGATAAGATTATGAATTCACGGGTACAAAACTTGGTAAGTACTAATTTATCAAGGATTAATATTTTTATGCACTAACAGTGATTCTTTTACACTAAGAATTAGGGATGCATGTCACATGTGTATGATTTAAATTTCAAATTTAAATTCATATTATGGTAAATCTAATTTTACTTGTGTAAAAAAATAATCTTCACATTGATAGTGTATTAAAAAAAGTTATAGAGGGTAAGTCTTATATACACTGTTAGTGCATACACTATCACCACTGGATTCATGATACACGTGCAAAAGTTAGATTTCAAATTCAAATTTTGCATAGTTATCATTCATCCAATACTAATACATATATATATATATATGTTAATCTTTCATATACACTAAAAGTGTATACACTATCACCGTTTGATTCATGATAACTATGTGAAATTTAAATTTGAAATCTAACTTTTGCACACATGTCATGAATCAAACAGTGATAGTGTATATACTGTCAATGTAAATAACTAATATATATATATATAACTAATTTATTAACAGCATACTAGACTCCAACATAAGATCCTTAGGCTTGGAATCATTGAAAGAGTGATATAAAAGGTATAATCACTTGATGGTGCTTTCATGGTGAAATCTTTCACAATCGTTTATTACACCATAAGGTTCAAGACTGGAGGGATTGAATTTTGTTGGAATGACAACTACTCATTACATGCAAGTTGCCGACATGTCGGCGAGAAACATGTAAATACCAATAGTGAAGACAATAGATATTTGAACTGTTTTTACTGATTATTCGTCCGTAAATGGAGATCTTTTATGAGCACTGTGACAATACATGAGTACAAAGATGGGTTCTGTGCATGTGTTGATAAAGGGGTTCAATAATTTAAGCAAACAGTGAAAAGGTTTCAGGGGATCTTCCGTTGGATTGTTTGATACCAATAATTTTGGCTGCCAGATTGAGGGTTCGGAGGAATATGTACAACTGCTGGGCACGGTCCTTTCTGAAATATACCACCAGTTTCTACCCAAGTGAAAGCTGTCGAAACAATACACGGACTGACGGACGCGCAAGTGCAAAAAAAAAAAAACAGTGGACGAACTAAACTACCTTGCAAATCCAAAAGTCACCGGCCATGTCTTCCACTCCGACTCCAGAAATCAAGCGAGATCGTGCTTTATGATTCTTATGCTCCATCGATCTCTGGAGGAGTTTAATTACTGCTCTTGAATGAATCTCGCAAGTGCATAGTTAAAGAAAATTAGAAACTCAATCAATTTCCGCTGCCATTTATTTCTTCAATTTCTCTTCCGATTCGAAATATTTTGCACATATTTTACCCACTTAAGCAGTATCCACATTCAACGGGACTTGTTTATCGCGGAGACAAATGAATGACAAAATAAGCACACAAAAAAAAAAAAGAAGCCATGTACAACGGGCAGCAGCTATCCACGAGTGTGCATGCATCATTCCTGCTGCGGGAGCGACTTCTTTCCTCCATCTTTTCCAAGATTTGAAAGCTTGAGACTTGAGGCATATCTTTTGTGGGGTCTTCCCTTTCTCTACAGCTTGTTCAATTCAACAACGATCTTCATAACTGTTGAACGATTCAAATTAGGCTCCCTGTAGACCTATACATGCAGAACAGAACCGAAAATTAGCCCTGCATTTTCATTAAGGCAAATGTTCATTTGTTTTGTTAGGGTCTAATAAATAAAAAAAATTATATGATTAAAATGATAGTGAGAGTGAGAACCTTATTTTTAATTATGTAGTAAAACTGACTAGGAAGGATGGTTGAAAGATAAACGGCCTTAGTTCTAGCTCGAATGATTTTCTTTTCCCTAGGGCAAAGTTACAGATTATTCATTGATGTTAAACATATATAGAGCTTACACCAAGTGAGCACTCTCCATACAATAACAGGCCAAACAGAATCTAATTAGAAATAATGTGTAGTCCACTAATCATGATTGGTTATATGCATATTAAAGTATGTTTCATCTATGACATTGATTCGGTCTTACGATCAATCACAAGTGTTCAGTGAGCAGTTTAGAAATAATTAAAATGAATTGATATAATTTTTTGATTAAAGAACTTTGGTTTATAGCGTTATAGTAATTTGATAGTTAGATTAGGGTGGCTATGAGTAATTATAACGACAGACAAAATGTGATTATTAGATGTAATTTTTTAATAAGGGTGAAACCGAAATTGTTTAGACAAACTGCCATTAATTAATTCCTCATCTGATTTTGTGCATTGTATAGATGTTTGGAAAAAAAAACAATGCATATTGTTTTGTTCTGGTTAAATCATATTTAAGTGATAAATAACTTTTAGTGGTTTGAAGTCTTGACTCGTAAGAAACTAAAGCTATATATTGAGTTAGCGCAATATATAAAAACGTTAGTACGAGGTAGGAATAGAGAGCTACAAGTTTTGGTTTTGACGACATCATTCGTTACTTCTTTGTACTCCCCAATAAAAATCATTTCCCAAATGGAACGTGTAAAACTTGCAGTTTAGACCCTGAACCGCAATCCATCCATATATGGCGAAAGTGTGATGAGGTTGCCATTTTCAAAGACTAAACAGGGAAAGGAACATGTTATTAATTTGGTGTGTTGTGTTACCACTTACCATATATATATATCTTATTATATTATAGTACTATATATATATATATATATATATATATATATAAATAAAGCAATGACTAGGAAAAGAATGAGGATCGGATCGGATCGGATCGGATTAATTGATGGGTTCTCTCATAGTAAGTACATTTCCTTTGTTTATTGGGATTCTTACAGTGATTATTATCAATTAGTATGGGCAGCATGCAGTAGGAGAGAAAGAGATTGGGTAGCTTTCGGTTGTTTGACAATGATGAAATCAAGTCAGGTTCACAGTATCAATTATTTAATTATCGTGTTCTGTGGCCCTTCTATTTATAATCCATTATGTCTTTGGCGTTCCATTCCCGTCTTCATCTCCTTTCACTAAATGCTCATTGTTGCCTCCAATAATCGCTCTTTCTACTATTGATTATGCTCCTAGCAGTCTACTGCAGCTGCTGCTACTACTACTACTACTTGTACTAATCATCATCATATAACTACTACTTTTCCCTTCACTGCCTATATACTTGCAGCCAGGGCTACCATCTTGTCTCCCCTTCTCTTCTCTTGCTTTTAGGGTTTCCTCCTTTGAACTTTCCCATCCACGCATCAAGAAAATTTGCAGAATTTGTCGGATATATTTCGATGGCTGCATCATTCTTCTTAAACGAATCAGGGGACAGAGCTTGAAGTTGGAGGATCTTCCGTCTTTTTCTTCTATATATTGTGCTGCTTGGATAAGGGACAGGAGGTATGTTGAACCCCATTCTTTGAAAAGTCTATAGTAAGTACAATTCTAGATATGAAAATCGAAAACCCGTGATTCACAATTTTATGCATCATCAGAAAGATTTTAGACAACTTCGACATGGTAGATGAGGAACTCATTCATCTACGTACACACGCTTTCTAATTTACCCAAAAAAAAGAACACATTCATTTTTATATGTACATACATATATATATATATATAGTCGCTGGGCGAGTCTTAATGTTTTTGAGTGTGCTTATTTAACATCGAAATTGAGGATCCCCTGGTACATTGCTCGTTCACTCGAGAGTTCAGTATCATGAGAATTACCGGACTGGAACTCAACAGGAAAAAGATAGGGTTTCCCCAAAGTACAAAGCGAAGGACTGACTTGAACTTTTGCTGGAAAACGGTTCTCTTCTTAGGTTTTGATGAACATTTTGACCAAATTCAAGAATCAAAGATGTATGGATAGGTGGTTGGAATTGTTTATCTGCACGCATCTAATATACATTGGGAACTATAACATGGAGAAAGTAAAATGGGACAAACGGTGCCAGAAACGAACATTAGATGCCTCAAAAGTCAACAGAACGAAAAGATAAGGAAGAAGACTTCTGCAGGCCACATAATCCGAACTTACTACTAACACATACTGCTACATTTTATCCTCTCTTTTCTTAAAAGTGTGATCTGACCATGTCAGTCTCAGACATTGCTTTCAGTCCTTTAAACAATTTTTTCCCTTTGGTTTTCCAAATTTGCAATTCTGCAACCATGAATGATTACCCATTTTTCATCAGGGCATCGTACTGTCACTGCTGTACCAGTAAAAGAAAATCCCGATCATATTGCATGGTTTCGGATGGATTTTGTGACAAAACGGATTATATAATGGTTAGGAAAAAGAGAAAAAGAAAATAATCCCATTAACTTATTCAATCTCAGAAACTTGCTTCATCTTTTTTATCCAACCCCTAGAGCATATTTGATCAAACAAATAGCAACAATAGGAAAAACCAACAATAACAAGACAAAAATCTGATGGATTCATGTGCAAGTATTGGCAGCAAGGATGGCTTCTTCCAGTTACTCCAATTCTCCTTGTGCTGCCTGCAAGTTCTTGAGGAGAAAATGCCTGCCAGGTTGCATATTTGCTCCATATTTCCCTCCAGAGGAGCCGCAGAAGTTTGCCAATGTGCACAAGATATTTGGAGCGAGTAATGTAAGTAAGCTGCTCAATGAAATCCAACCTCATCAGAGAGAAGACGCGGTAAATTCTCTTGCCTATGAAGCTGAGGCACGGTTGAAAGATCCGGTTTATGGTTGTGTTGGAGCAATCTCGGTTCTCCAAAGGCAAGTTCTTCGTCTTCAGAAGGAGTTAGATGCCACGAATGCTGATCTAATGCGATATGCAAGCAATGAAATGCCACAAGGATACCCAGGCAACAGTGGCTCGAATCAGATGGGGAGACGGATGAATAATGCAGATAGTTCCTTCGGTCAGTATGAATATCCATCTCCTTATTATATGTCATCATGGGACAATAGCTTCTCAGGTGATCATCCTGATAAGCCTGGAGACAGTAACACATGAGCTATTTGTGCGCAATTACTGGCTAGATAACCTATATGCTAATTAGGTCTATGGATGCAGTAAGGAGCCAGGAAAGGAAGCATTATCATATTCCACATCCTGTAACATATGTATGAGAAGATGCAACTAATTCTAGCTTGTTGCAACTTCTCAAAGCGATAGGAAAAGTAAGATATATTTGGGAAACTTAGTATGTAATTTGGAGAGTGAGTTATGGAAAATATTTGAAGCTTTGTAAATGAGCTGCTAGTAATCAAATGTTTGTGTCCTTGCTTCGACAGAATCCGCCCATATGGGAATCGTTCCTTTTTTTTTTTTGTAAGATGGGAATTGTTCTTTGATGTACAATATATCTATGTGTATAGATAATGTCATCTACATCCAGAAGATGGTACGCTTTTGTAAGGCATATACTCCCATTTTTTGGATGCTTGGATTTGTATTGTAGCTAAATCGTGTCAAAGCTTGTAGGGCAACGTCAAACATACTACACCACTTGCTAGTCTCACTTAGAGAAGTACTCCAGTTGTGGTTATTCTAACCTTTTCCTACATGTCAAAGAGGGATATGAGCCACTGTTCTGGTGCATATGCTAAATCGCTAGTACTCTAGTAATTGATGATACTGCTCATTACCCACTTGGATAACACCAGTACGAAGCTTAACTTAGACAAATGAAATGAGGTTGAGTTTATGCATCTCCGAGACCACAAACCCACTAAAAGATAACAGTTGAAAGAGACACAAAGTTTTTTATGCTAACTATTGATAATGTCTAATCGAACAATAAATTGCATTTTTTCTTACTCTTACTCTTTGAGGGTTCGGCTTAATTAGCATCATTAGCCATAGTGTATGAAGTGGCTACAAGCAGGCACGCATTTCAGAGGCGGGAACACCAGAATAAAGACCTAGATATCCTGCATGCCAACTGGGATGCGAATTAAAATTAGCAGTTAGTATATGCATCGTCCGCTCTCTACCGGCCGTTGCATTAGGCCTGTTGTTCAGGCTTCTATATATCCTATTGAAGATCTAATGTCACAAATGAGGTAATTAATAGATGGTGTACTTTATACATCATTAATGTTTAGTTCTTTTGAGCCGAAATATCTTCTGCATTGTCTACTTGCGGACCGGTGACTGCTGCTTCTACCTAATCGAAACATCTCATCCTTTTTTCTTTGGGTAATTGAGGGGAACATTTCATCCTAATTCCTATTCACCTTTCACATTTCTAGCCGCCCAATTGGCTAAGGAAACAGCTTTAAGATCCTCCCGGCCGTATATTAGTTGTTACCTGCTATTTGGGTGAGGTGCCTGTGTGCAGATTGCAGAAGAAAACAATGAATAAATAAATTTTAAAAAGACAAAGAATGCCAAATTAATTAGAGGAACAAATTTTGTGCGATTATCACGAGTGTCATGGGCTAAGTGGTGGTGGTTTGGCGGAAGTTATACTAACTATGATTGTGTAAAAATGTCAAAGATGGAACGGTATATATATTAAACACACCCTTAGATTGTAGTTTTTCAAAGAAAAATCGTCACGTTTTTCATGGACACATTTTACAATCACCTTTTTACCTCCCAAATATCACATTGTTACAGTAATTTTTCTATAAAAAATCCAGAAAAATGCAATCCAAACAAAGTCAAGTATATTAAATGACATGAATTTTTAATACTAAATGGTGCTCACGCTTTATATATATATAAATAAATAGAGAGACATGGATACGGATATGATACAACCAAGCATAGTAATAAAATAAGATCTGTCTTGCTTAATTGGATATTACACGGTACATATTGCCTCATGACCAGATGTATACCTTATTGCATGTGCATAGTTTTCCAGGAAATTGAGATGCCTCTCTCCGAAGCCTCTTATCAAGTGGGAGAAAATTGATGTGGAAATAAATCATAAATGATAGAATGCGATCTCGAGCCTCTTGCTCGCAGCTGGAAATGGGATCTGTTCCTCGAGTCGAGGCCCAAGGTCAAGTGGAACTTAATTTTTTTTTTTTTTTTTTTTGTCAATCGCCAACCCTATTTCTACTTCTACTCTATTTAGCGGAGATCCAATTCGACCTATGAGGGGTCGGTGGGAACAGAACCACTACCGGAACAAGTGGAACTTAATTAGAGTACAAGAGAATCAGAATATTAAGAGAAGTAGTAAAACTGTAAAATTGAAGATTTTCCAAATGTTTGTCTCCCCGAATTAAGCTGCTGTGAACTTCTGACATGTCCACCACCATGTTCATCTATAATTGTCAGTGTCTTGCACAGTGAAATGTACAGGAACCTACCATGTAGGATCTGGAAAAAGATTGTTCTACCATGTGAGAAAATGTGAGCCTACAGAACTTCTATATACGACGCTGCTGATGCCTGATGTTGATATTGTTGTGTTTTTTTTTTTTTTGAGGGAGGGGTTTCCCGGGGGCTCTAGATTGCTGTGGCTGGGCTAGATTTGCAGTGACTGATAATGATAGTCATGATTTGATTTCTCACAACCGTCCGCCGCTTCTGCAGAACCATGCATAATATTCTGCCGCAGTAGAAGAGTGAATATTAATATTACTACTTAGTACAAGACATTATTGGATCTCGTGAAGGTTAATTACGGGAAATACCCTAAATAAACCCAACTCATAATTCATAACTTATTAATCCTATTAGATGGAAAAAAAAAAAAAAACGCCCTTCTTTAAACAGTACTCATAGTTTTGTAGTTAATGACGAAATAATATTTGTTTATTATAGTTTATTTAGACTAATATTAAAACGAGAGGCTAAGTCAAGCCCGCAATACCCTCCACAAATAAATAAATGAGAAAAAATTTAAATTCACCCAGACCCAACCTATGATCTTACTTATAACTATACGGCTATTCTTACATCATCTTATTTCACCTATCATTATTTCTTTTCTCTTTATTTATTTTTTAAAAAGAATTTCTCTCACTTTTTACGTCATCATCGAATAACGTGACGACACTCAAATATATCACATCTACTACAAATGAATGAACGTGTAAAGTAGGTCCATCCAAATATTTTAATTAGATTGCTAAACTGTATCCAATTAGCTATTTTTCAGCGTGGGATTGCACCGAAACGGTAAGTAAGCGAAGTAACAAAAAAGAAATTTTTTTTTTTTATTATTATTGATTGAGTAGGTTAGAGATGGACATCAAAATATGCTGCTTGTCTCACTTTCTCATGCAAAGCAATGCACGCGCACGCCCACGGATACATAAAAAGCGTACAGCAGCAAAAGGTGGGGTGGGGCTGGGGAAGCTGTTTTCTGGAGAAAAAGGGACATGGCATCTCTCACTGGGATTGTGCATTTCGGCCCCCTTCAACTTCAAGTCTGCCAATTCGATAATCCGTCACATCCATCGCTCTCGTGTACTTGGAGCTAGGGGGTCAAGCTTACTTACTGCTAGTCTTGAGTGGCGTGGCATTGGCCCTCTTAACCGCCCAAACATCCTGTGGAGTTCAGGTGACCATTTTTTGGTCCCCGGCCTACCTTAATCATATGGCATCTAGCTATGCTGGCCTGCTACTGCCACTGCTCCTCTACTCCATCCATCCATCCTTCCAATCCCAAAGCTTCAATTTCCACACTCCATCCATCCATTGATTGATTGATTGATCTGACTGCCCCCAAGCGTAACTCCCCCCCTCCTTCCTACTCCTCCTACTATTACCGCTGCTACTACTAATTATAGACGCCCGTGGAGTGGAATGGAGTGTTGTAGGCTAGCTGCCGAATTCCTCACCAACGAACACTTTCCACAGCCTACCGTGTACGAGGATTCCCATTTCGTTACTACTACTGACTCCGTTATCTTTTTGTCCCCTTTCGTTAATGGGTTTTAACAGTAGTAGTAGCAGCAGTAGTTCCACTTTTCTGTATGCGGTGAATTACTAATCAGGCAGGCATGTTTCTACAACTTGAAGAGACCAGCTGAAATTTTTTCCCTTGAATGATGCTTTACCATGCATGGGATTGTTGGTGACGCAAATCAAAAGATTAGGCAATCTATGCGGCAACACATGTAGTTAGGAGACCAGCTGCAAAATGGATTCGTTGTCCCTGTCGTGTCGTGTCGTGGGGGATTTTTTTACTTTAAGGTCCTGCGGGCCTTTTTCTTTCCTTTTGGTCAAAAAAGCTCATCTCGCTCACACCAGATTTTTTTATTAAAAAAAAATAAAGTGAACCAAAAAGGAAAAAAAAAAAAAGGAATTTTTGGTACTGTCATTTTAGCCTTCAATATCAGATTTTACTGATCCAGACGACACCAAACTGGTTGGGCAGGCCAGTTTGGATCCAATAATTACTGATCCAAAAGGGAGATAGGCTTCGGTCCTGTTTGTTGTCTATTTGGTTTTGGTTTGGACCATGTTGTTAAGCCCTCTTGTGAATTGGATTTTTTCGGTTTAAGAAAATAGATTAAGCCCAAGGATTGCTATTCTCGGCAAGCTTACAGGCCCTGCTGTCAACACCCCGCTCATTGTAATCATCTGCCCCATTTTTGTCCCAGCCACCTCGCGGTGGCAGGATTCCCTGTATCGGGTGCTTATGGGTTGACTGGGCTTTCATCCATTTCTTGGCTTCTAAATTTCACAAGGCCAAGTACCGCTCTTTGCTAGTCTCAGCAAGTTTGTACAGTTACGTCTGTGACGGGCCAGGAAAATTGCTGCTGTTGAATGAGCCCAGGAAGATGGCCTGATAATTGCAATCTCAATGCGCAAATTGCAATGCCTTGTGAAGTGCAGAAATGTCCGTACGTATGAAGTTTAGAAAGTTTTGGGAAAGTATGATAATAGACGGACTAATTTGTCCCTATCTTAAAATTTTTTGACAAATTTATCTCTGTTAGTTAATTTAAATTTTTGTGACCAATTTGCTCCAACTTACATATAATGAAAAGGACTATATTGCCCTTATTAACCTTATTTTCTCAACCAAATTCTATATAAATACATAATCTTATCAATTGAGCTTTTTGCAAATGAATGCTTCAATAAGCCTAAACTAGATCCCAAAAAAAAAAAACCTTCTATATTGACTTGAGTTTGGCTTATTTAAAACTCTTAAATGGGTTGAATTTTATTCAATTTAACCTAATTTAGCGAAAACTCGGCCCATTATTTAATTGAATTTCAATTTTAGATTCAGAAACTAGATTAAAACCTATTTTTAAGGGCCAAATGAGCTGAGTTTGAGTGAATGCAAATTTGTATATATCAAAACCCTTAATTTACTTTATAATTCTAAAGTTTCAAATTACTTTATTTTAATAAAAGTTATAAATTATTAAATTCTTTTATTCAAACGATCATACAAATTAAGGAGTATTTTGTTCATTAAAATAGTAATCATCATATTTCTTCC